TCATTTTTGGGCAACAATGGAGCTCTGTGGCACGGACGAATACCCGACTTTCACTCACACAGTGAGATCGGTTCATTAATATTGCTGGTTTTTTTAAATGGGATTTCTTGACAAAGAGAGAAATATATGGTATCAGAAGACTTATCATTCAAAGCCCTAGTGCTGAACAAGGCATAACAATGTACAGCCACAAGCAGCAGAGGTGATGGGGAAGAAAGAGGAGAGAAGCCAAGGAAACCAGGCAGACTTCCACCGCTCAAAGACATTTTTCATGTAGTTAACTTTTCTTTGACCTTACAGAGACCATCGACGCCACAAAGCAAAACAACTGGGCTAATGGTCCCCCACCCCCCCACACTACACACACACACACCCTACACGCACGCACACACACACACACACCTAGCTGCAGCCAAGCCACCCGAGACTGTGGCAGCATGGTTCTTTTAAATGAGTTAAACCTTTATTAGTGTGTCAGAGGGGAAAAAACATTGTTTTCCTCAGTAGCAGGTTGAGATATTATTCATCTATAATTGGTAATAACCCTGCACCCCCACCCCGAGGCGGCTCAATCTCCACTGAGTAATCACTACCATCGCCTGCTCTGCTGGAAACAGCATTATTAGGTCGATGGCACTGTCTGTACCTCTGCTGTCTGCCAAGGAGGTTTATTATCTGACAATATATGGCTTTGCTCGGGCGCTTCCTCTAAAACGATGGGCTGCGAAGGGGAGAATCTGCCTGAGCATATTTATCTCACCTCACAAGCTACTATCAAATACTACATCTCAGCAGCCCGGACAGTGGGGGCTCAAAAATCACCTCCGGCAGGATCGTTTAGGCAGGGGCTTTATCAGTTTTTATGACAGCAAGATTTGTTCTGCTGTGCAAAAAACACATTTCACTTCCCAATACTCAACTGTCATTGCAACAATGTCACCTGCTCAGACTATTTCCACTGTGTTTGTGCGTTAATGTGGAAAATTAACTCTCTGTTACTTGTAACGGACAACAGCTACTCTGCAGCATGACCTCCACTTGATACTTGATGTATTTTAATGGTCATGTTTTTGATTTACACAGATAAAGTTGAGATCCAGCCAAGGGCCTTTTCTGACACAAGATTAAAAAACCGAGTTAACTGGCTGTGTTAGGGTATGTGGTTTAAGTTTCTATTTTCCCTTCTCTTTGTGTTGGAAGAATCAATTCAGAGTATTAGGGCCGCTTAAAGGGAATTATTTTTGACATTTCGAGAATAGAGTCGTATTATTATATTATCATGAATAACAGGACTTTGAACAGATTGTGTAAGAATTCTAAAGAAAGAGCCGCACAGAGTGAGTAAGTGGAGACAGTAATATTTGGGAGTGGTTGACTGTAAGGCTATAATTTACATCTGTGTTTCTCAAGGAACCATGAGATTGGTTTACGATTTAGGATTCGGAAGTAGCGAAATTTCCGAAAGCAAGTTTCCATTCCTAAAAATATTGTGATATTATTAGTGTTATGCTCATAGATGTATTACTTCATTCTTTAAAATTAGGCTAGGACTTCTGTTCTTCATAATAGAACTTTACTTTCACCAAATTGTAACTTTATTTTCGTAATATTACACCTTTATTCTCATAACATTAAGAATGTATAAATGACATATTTTCCCCTTTTTTTCCCCTTTTAAATGACCCTAACACTTTGTTGTATATTTTAGTTCCATATGTCATATGTGACATTTTCAACCAACAGCCCAAGTCATATATATGGATAAATAAACTAGTCGATATCTGTTCAAGCTAGAATCAATCAAATCAAATAATTTCTATAGCTCTATATTCAATGGTGTGTTTAGTTATATTGGAAAAATGACTGCTTCTCTGCTAACATGTCAACTTGTGAAGTTAATGCTGTAACGTTGGAGTCTCTTCTTGAGTGCCATATTATGGAGCTTTAACAAATACTGCAAATTCACACCTTTGGGTAAACACCCTGAGCTCAACTAATTATGCAAACACCGACCTTTTTTTTTACTTTAAGGTGACTTTGAAAACATTGGTTTACATCATATTTTATTAGATATTGAATCAACTTGAAACAAACTGTCCTTTCTGTCACAACCCTTTCAGAGAGTAAATATTTAAGAGTGTGGGAAGAAACCATAAGTAGGTGAGAGGGAGTGATCGCTGGGAGAAAGACGGAGAAAATGACCTTGCTGCTGCTAAGAGCAGACTAGTATTTCATCAGCTAACACTAAGGGCACACCTGCCTCACAGCTACACTCAGGTTCCAACATCTGCCAACGGCTCTGTGCTTCATCCCTGTGAGGAGGCATCAGGGGAGGGAAGGAAGCGAGAAAGAGAGAGAGAAAGAAAAGACAGAAAGAAAGAAAGAGAAACAACAAAGTCTCTTGTGGGTTTTCTGAGAGACTCTTGTACGTTTCAGGGAAACGACAGGGGAAAGCAAGTAGAGTGACAAGACTGATCAAAATGTGGCTCTAACATATCTGTATATTCTGCGGTGTACGCTCTCGAGCGCAGCTCACTGGGACAACCCCTGTGGCGAGTTATGAACAACTGACACGGGACACATGCTTTCTCCCCAGCACCAGGTGACTGAATCATCAAGGGAATGAAAGTGAATTACATGGAGATTAGTGGAGGAAGGAAGTGGAATCATGTGCTCAGGAAAATTTTCTTCACTGGAGGGAGAAGTGAAACCATACAACAGGATACTGGTACATGCTGATCCATTCAACAATTCCTAATTCAGTCATTCACTTCTCCAAGTCTGGGTTACACTGACATGCAAGCCACTAACCACAAGCAACTACACCATGTAAACTGATGTTAGCCCAACAGCTGTATTGCAGCAGTATTTCAATGTTTTTGTGTGCGTGAGTGAGATCGGCCGCACATGACAAATATTTTGTTTACAACAGTAAAAATGATTTTGTGGTCAGTATGAGACACAAGGTTAACCTATTAGATGAACCTCTTCACGGCTGACCTACTTTCACCTTGAACAATTTTTAGATTTGTACTTATTGTGTCTATAAAAACAGCTGCTGAAGGAGTAAATAATAAATAAACATTGTAATAATAAGTACATTTATACGTGAACTCTCTGTATCTTTAGCCATCGAGAAGTATTTAGGCATGGAAGCTCATAAAACTTGGCCACAAACTATTTCCTCTATGTTTGGACCTCTTATTCACAGTCACAAATAACTATACCCATGCAAAATGGAGCGTTTCGGAAACAGTGACACCACAGCCACCCAGCCCACTGTTGCTTTGTGAGCATGCGCCACAAACAACAAACAAATCTAGGTTTCTCTATCGATGGTCAGCACTGCTTTATCTAAAAACAATTTAGCAGCTAAATGTAGCATCACTGCAGGTAGCTGCCTCGCGAAATACTACTTGGATCAAAGTGTTCTTCTCTTTATCGCCATCTACTGGCTGGGCATGCTTGTTTGAGGGTTTTTAGTAGTTTTTGTGTTCTCTTCTGGACGGAGACATTTTGTAAAATGAAGGTTGTGTGGATTTTTTTGAATACAGGGGAAAATATCTTTAAAAAGTCCACTGTCAGATCGACAATGCTTCAAGGATAGGAGTCAAGCTAATAACAACATGTTTAGCAGATACAATGTTGCCAGCATTTGATTGGTAAACAATCGTCATGGCACTTTGTCATTGAGGGATTTGAGTGCGGATTAGAGCGGTGGGCCAACAGCACAGCAGCTAGAATCAGCACCAAGGTGTATTTATGAGAGCAGTTCACCCAGAGCGGTTAGGGAAGATGCCACAACGTCCCTTCAACAAAGGAACATCCACCATCAGCGTGTTATCCTGTCACCTGTTTCCATATCGTCATTCTGCCTACACCCCCCCCTCTGTATTATCTCTGGCTTTCAAAATAAAAATATTTTTTCTAGGTCTGCTGTTCTGCCAATGGTATGTCAGTTTCCATAGGATCAACCTTCGACCTGGCATTATACAGGACCGGGGTGACTATAAACAGCCCCTCCCCTCGCTCCAGCTCTCCAGCCATCAAATGGTCAACACAAAGGAATACAGCTGACCTTAACTGTCCTGGAAGAGTTCACACTCAAACACGCACACACACGTTTGTGGATTGTCAGGTACCAGGACAGTCCACTTTCAAGCTGACCCCAGAAAAGAAACAGAGCTTTCATACATACAGCTGTGTTCGGACAATGGGGAAAAAAAGACAGATAGCTGAAGGGAAAAAAAGCAAAACACAGAGCCAATCAACTGAGTTGAGTAAAACAAAGGGCTATCTGTAAAAGCCCTGGACTTCATCCCACCCTGTGATGAGGGAACTTCGATCCCCAGGCAGACCGCAGACAGCTACAAAGCCCCGATGTAGCCTGTTAAGCTCCCACTTCGATTCAGCTCATTGAGCTCCGTGCTGCTGATCAATTAGAGAACAGCTGAAACCAGCTGCTGAGCACACAGACAAACATTATGTTTTTACTCTTTTTACTCACTGTTGTTTTTGATACCATGTGCTCAGATTTTTTTACTGCTCTGTCACATTTAATCCTGAAGGGTTTTTTTTTCCACTTCTCTACTGGTCGCAAAGTCAACCCCCATGCCATGTTACAATCTCACTGAGGCCGATACAGTTTAAATGTGGGTGCACTGGCTGTCTGTGCCCGTCTGCACAAGCCAAGTGACTGTTGAGTGTATGTAAGATCAAAGCTACGCTCTGGATTTTGTTTCCCAGCCGAAGATACAGCGTCATTGGAGTTTAGTCCACGCAAGATCACTGTTGACACAGAAACATGGCAAATGATGCATACAGGACATCAACAAACAGTGAGAAAGAACCATATCTGGTCATGTTGCATACGACCCAACATGCAATCTTATCAACAAAAGCCATTCGCATCCATACAAAGAATAATGATTATTCTTTATTTTCCACATGACCTCAGCTTACACCATGTAATGAAAGGTTTTTCTGTGTGTGAGACTCACCCATCCTCCTTGACTTTGGATCCAGGGCTGGATGTTGTTGTCTAGGTAGACTGTCATCCACTCTATGATCCTGTCCACCAGCGAACTCATCTCCTTCTCCACACACTCTACACTCAGCGCCCCGCCGAATGCAAAAAGCCCTATGATGCGGCCCCAGTTGACGCCGTCCCGGAACACCTCGTCCATCACGTTCTCAAAGCTTTGGTAAGCTGTGGCCGGCGTGATGTGCAGCTGGTTGTGCAGATCGCTGAAGGCGCGGGCGTATCGCAGCTCAAACTCGTTGGCTGAGTCTCGCAGGGCCTCTTTCACCGCATCCAGACTCGTCGTTGATGGCAACCTTTGCTGCCGCAGCGGGGAATCTGGAGGGGTCTCTGTATTCATGCCGTGAGAAGTTCCGTTGGCTTGCGTCGCTGTCTGCTGTTCCTCACCCGAGCCTGTCTCCCCCCTATCAGTCCTGTTTGTGGGCTCATTGAGTCCAATGTGGTTGAGTGGATAGTTCGTCTGGGTGAGTTTATACTGTATGTAGTAAACCACCAGTTCTCTGTTTTGAGACATTTTGAGTTCAAATTAGCTTTTTCTCTTCACTCTGGTAGGTCCTTCCTCCTCTCTTGGTGGAGCCTTGCTGTGTTGTACTGAATGCACACTGTGCCAGGCTTTCTTCCTGCTTTTTCCTCTGTTCAGACAACCATGGTCAGCTGATATCCGAAGGACACTTGAGGGGTGAAATCCAAACCTACGCAAGGCTGACAAAATCAGCTCAGGCCCTGGAGAGAGACAACAATAAAAGGTCAAACTCTGGACAGCCTATAAGCATGCAGTGATTTTATGTGTGTGATGAAGAGGAAGTGTGCAGGGATGGTTGGAGACTTTCAAATTAAATTTGGACAGGTAGGGTCATAGTTCTTCTCTCTAATTGGGCTGTTACATATGGAGCAGATGGCAATGATATTAATGAGAGAATAGTACAGAGAGTATATAAGAGAGAGAGAGAGAGAGAGAGAGAGAGAGAGCGTGCGTGCGTGCGTTTGTGTGCACGGACATGTGCGTGCGTGTTAGAGAGAGAAGATGGGAGACAAAGGAAGGGTAGGTGTGAGGGAGGTGAGGCTCAGGTGATAAGAGATCAGAGGGACAGTCTGGCTTGAGGGTCCATGCAGACCACCACCACCATCATAATCATAATCAGTGACCTCTGACTTCCAATGTGAGCTTTTAGGCATCCTGTTTATCTCAGCTGCAGCCTCTTTGTTACTGTCACTCACTCACTCACACACTGATCTGCATGTCACAGTTAAGCATGCAAAAACGTTTTTATCATGAACCCCCGATTAACACAGATAATGCTAAATTTGCTTTAATAGCATTAAGAAGACTTCTCATGATGCTGCTTGTTTACACTCAGCGAAACAAAGTGGCATATTGCAGTCCCGGTGTGTGGTTTAAGATAGCACGCTGGCATTCCGGAATCTGAGGTGTGATCGGCGCCACCATCCCGTCCCACCATGCGGGCTTCCTCTTTGAAATAGATGTAAATCCGGCTCTGTGACTACATTCTCTCAGCTTAAAGATAGAACAAGACTGTCCCACCCTAAACAAGCTGTGTGAAAGGACAATCACCTGTGCTGGAGGTTGGTATGAATCATACACACATTTTCCTTCTGGCTTCACATCATTGCTTCCATCTCAGGTCTAGTTCTGGTCTGACACTACTCTGCTTTATGACACAGCATTAGTACGATAAATCATTATAGGATTACTCTAACCTTAACAGATACTGGCTGCCACTGTCCTTTCAACTACAAGATTTCATGTCTTCATTTACCTGAGTGCAGAATGACTTGTTTCGATGAAGAAATCAAATAAAGATATGATTCTTTGCTCATAATGAAGTTTAAATGTTTTTGACACCAGCTTGTCATGATAACTAAAACATACAGCACATTTTACTTCAACACAGATTTACGTTCATATCCTGCAGCCTGTAAATTTGAGTGCGTCCCTGAAACAAAAGACAACAGGAGAGCAGCAGTGTGACAAAGACCTTCCCTCATCCTCTGCCACTATCCCTAACAGACCTGAGGTGTACAGTCAGTCCCACTAAACGATGTGAGAGGAACCTTACCTGCCGTTGATCACGAAATGCCTGTTGGTTATCACGTGGGAACCTGATCTTTCCTGTACCACTACCAACACTGACATTTAAACTGATAAGTGGTGGTTAGCTCGTGAGCGAGGCAGATTAAACAGTGCTGCTGTTATTACATACAGCAGTATATCACCACTCTTCATACACACGCACAAAGAAAGCCTGATTCGGTCACTGCTGATCTCATGTACTTCAATCCAGCTCCTAAAACTTCAACTTCTTATAAAATATACCCTCAGCAGGCGATCGTGTTTGAAAATGTTAAGAGGAAGTAACATCAACGGGCTCTTATGGCAGATAAAGACTCACAAGGCAGCAGTGTTTACAACGGCCACATGGTCCCCAGCTCCCAACACGTGGCTCTGCTTTTTTATTAGCCCTGCACTGATGTAAACACCACGCAGCTCCCTACAGGAGCACCAGCGAGTCGCCACCACACGCAGTACCTGAACGCAACATTTGTAACCACGATCGCAATTGTAACCACTGAAACATTGCAACGAAATTTCAAAGCGATGCTGAGCTGAGCTCGAGTTTGTTGCTGTGGAATCTGGTCTCGCACTGAGTGGGAAAACGATGCGACGCTGATCTGCGTGTGTGTGTTTGCGCTAGTTGCGTTAGTTGTGTCGCAGCCCCGTGTTGTCGACGTAGATCCCCCGCACCAAACCTCAGCTCACATTTTCCACTGAAGTGAATCAGATAGGATCAACACACAACATGAGAGTCTTACCCAGCTGTGAGGAGGTAAGTCTCCTCGGTCCGATCCCTGTCCTCCTGTGTCAAAACGTCCCAAATGTCCCTGTCTGTCCGTCTCTCTCTCTCTCTCTCTCTGTGTCTGTCTCTGTGTCTCTCTGTCTGTCCTTCTGTAAGAAAGCTGTCAAGCACCAGGAATGTGAGACAGCCACTTTGTGTGAAAGAGTGTGTGTCTGCACGTCTCTCCCTCCCACGCCCCCCCCCACCCGCCTGCTGCATGCCCAGCCCTCCTCTGTTACGTAACAAGACGCCTTCAGGGACATCTGAATATCTAACCACCGTGTCCGCCACAGTACTCGTTTGCCCTGGCTTTACTACACACACGAGAAAATCCTACCCGCTAATAGAATCTGAGGAAGTATATTACATCCTTGTTAGCTATCTAACTCTTTTAACTTTGCAATAATCATGTATGTCTGTGCAATTCAGTGGCTAGTGTACAAACGGTTTCACTGTAAATAATCTGCAGACACTGAGTATAGTATTTCTATCCCATTTATATGTTTCATGTTTACCTATTTTTACTTCACTGATGTCTATTTTGACTGTCCTCTTTTCTGGGACTAATAAAGGATCATCTTGTCTTATCTTATCACTTTTTACCGTTTCATTATCCTTTACAAAGTATGGGTACATTGGTTTCTGAGCTCATAAATCATTAACTCATCAAACATTTTGTCAATCGCACTTTGTCCTGCAACGGATTTGTTTGAAAGGAGCTATATAAAATAAAATAAAGGTCCATGTCAGTATGACACTAAAATAAATTACAAAACACAATCATCACACTGTATAAATCCACTGGGATTAAATCGCATACAGTTCCAGTGCTTCCAAAAACCTACTGAGTACCTTGTGTCACCTCAGTGTTGTCTCGGTAAAGGACCTTATGAGTCAGTTTATCTAATCTCAAAAGGAATGCACTAAATTCCTCAGCAGAGAATGATATCAGGATATTGCTCAGGCCACAAACACGTAGCTCGCACTTGCTTGGAATCAAACCCCTGAAGGCGTCATTATTAAATGCCACCCACAGCTTTTTTCAGTGTTGCATGTCTTTAAGTAATAGTTGTGTAGAGATCTGTGCACGCTGTACGTCCTTGAACACTGCCACTCTTGTTTCCTGTCACAGAGCTTATTTTGTTTGTTGTATTCACTGACGCACGTCTCCTATCCAGCATGTGTCACCTCTGCCCAACTGTGAGCTATTATCGTGTCATCGGTTAGCTGGTCAAACCACTTAGCATTGCTATTTCCAATCAAAAGCACATGCTACTCAAACTGAACGTAGTCACGAAGGAACGGGCTTCAGCAGGAGAGGGCAGCACAAGCCGTCCCCATCCTGCTGTCACAAACACTGGGCTGAGACCTTTAAACGTGTCGTATTCAGCGAACAAACGCGTTGCGACACCAGCCTCTCATCGGGCTTTACGGGGAACTGTAGCCCAGCACGAATCAGATTCACACCACTGATGTGACAGCGAGGCTTCACACACAGATCCATCTGCTGTTACCGTAGCTGGCTGCTGAAGATGGCTGTCACTGTCATTTAACCCAACACAGAGTCGCGGTGCGGTCGTGCATTCGCAGGCTGTAAACACATGGAGGTGTGATCTCTGCGGCGAAACCATTAAAGGCTTTTAACGGATGCACGTAGCATCCAACAAACTATCAACCGTAGGAGGCTAGCAGGAAGCTACATTGTGGTTACTCATTCTTCCTAATCTGACGACCTCCTTCCTCTCGCTGAATTCAAAGAGGAAACTCTCCCTCCGCAACGGTGCTACTCACACCATTTCCCCGATGATCATAGATATCGGGAAATACATTCGCACAATGACCAGAAGCTCTTACTTGTACGGTCCTCTCCATGAAATCATGCCCGGCGGATGAGAATCCAGATCCCGGCAGGAATAATCCCATCCGTCATTGCTAGCCTTTCCCGACTGGCTAGCTGCTACTGGCTAGCGCAGATCCGCCCACAGCTACGCTCCCTACGTAACTTCACCGTGTCAGAGCGACTCTCCCGGCTCAGGTTCAGTCAGGAGGACATGGCTCTGCGACAAACACAGCCAAGGAGAAAGAGGAAACTCCGACCTCTCGCAGGAAAGTGGTGTTTACACGTCAACCGCAGGCTGGACCCGAGAACTAGCCGGCTAGTAGAGTTAGCGTCAGCGCTAACTAGCTAAAAGTGAGCTAGATTGCGCTGTCGGAGCCTCTCGCCTCACTCTCACATGAAATATTAAAGAGCTGAGTTCCACTCTTACTCGGTGTGATCCTATCTACTCACTTCTGATGGAATGAGAACATGACAGTGTGTGTCCCGGCAGCTGTCAGCCATCATCCCACTTCAGCTCCCCAAACAAAGGATGCGAGAGGTCTCCATGGTAACCTTTGTTACCCCAAAACCCTGCGCGCCAAGCGGCTGTGAGCACAGCGCCCCCCTCTGGGCACCTTCTTTATTTTTAATTCTTAATTATTGGTTTTGACTTCTGAAGTTTAACCGTTAAAAGCACTTAAAACTAAAAGTTTGACAAAGTGCCTGATGGATATGAAAACCGAAAATCCATGCAGTGCAGTAACAGGTTTAAATAAGCTAATGGATAAAATAAAGTAAAGAGATTTAAAATTAGATACGGAAGAGAATTTAGAAACATTTCCAGTTCTAAAAATAACACAACTCACCAGTGAGCTGCGTTTAAAATTTGATATGCATTTCTAATTAAATTTAATTATTTATTTTTTATACTGTCAAATTTCTATTCCCATATTGAAGTTGACTATTGACTATGATTTGTTAACAGGTTTGGTCAGTGGCTCGTGAAAATGGGACATTTTTCTTATGGAATATTTTAGAAGTGATCATCTGAAAATGTAAACAATTGCTGCGATTAATAGAAATAAAGTGTTGAATATTGATATTATCTGTTTCCCACCTTGTTAAGTCATTGTTGATAATTATTGTGAGAAATCATTAACGTGATCAGTGTCTTCACATAGATGAGTATCATTTATSATTAATAATAATATATAACTTAATGCAAACTGAGCAAATTTGTTATTTCAGAAGAGTGCATCAAACTGGTAGCCCCTCGTATGACTCGGTACCCATGAAGTAGCTCAAAAAGGTTGGTGACCCCTGATATAGACTGTACAAAGTTGACTGTTCATTAAACAACATGCAGATTGGCCTTACTACCCTTGAGCAACTCTCAATTTGATTTGAGGAGAGAGTTCAAGTACAAGTAATGACCCCTCCTTCCAGTCACAGAAAGCTATACCAGCCAGCATGCACATCACCTCAGTCCTTGAAGTGGAAAACATTGATTTCATCGATTATTAATGTTACTACACCATTTTATAACTGAATATATAGTCGCTGGACTGGATCAGAATTCAGGTTTATTGATTACTTCACCAAATGCTTGAAAGATTACATCACAATATTATGTATAGAACTGTATAGCACTTTCTTTTCTCTGTATCTTACACTGAAAACTTTACAGTCGGCATTTTTCCCCATTTACTGTATATATATATTTATATATCCCCTAGCTTAAGGGAAGAAAAGTAGACATCCATAGTTGCGCGGACAGGAATGCTTCTCAAAAAATATTTAAATGCACTTAAAATAATTACATACATCCTTCTTTAAAAAAAGGCATGGAATAAACTACCAAGGATCCAGGGCGCAGAGATTCCAGTGTCTCTGTAGATGCGAGCTTTGGTTTTGCTCCGTTCAGTAATCCTTCTGTTGAATCTTACAAAACACTGACGAGCATTCCAACCAGCCAGAGCAGGCTGGGTCCACTGGGTGGTGTTCATACATGAGCAGACTGTCTGCAACAGGTGCGAGGCGTGTGGGGAAACAGACAACCAACGTGTCACCTCATTGGGCCGACTGATGGATTAGAGGGAGGGTTTACAAACCAGGAGGATTTGACTCCGTGTGAAGTCTTCAGTGTTAAGGCTTAGTGGGTCAACACATGAAGGAATGTATGATAGACAGGAAGTAAGCCAGTCCTTCTACCATCATTTCATTGTAAACCAGCAATTATCCTGGGAACAGTATCATAAAACAAATGAAAGAAAATGAGCAAAAATAAATAGGTAAAATCTCATTGACAGGCAAGAATGATAAAGACGACAGGACGGTTGTGTCACAGAGAGCAAAGACTTCCCAAACAAAGCTGCATTTCACCTCTGATAATGTTCTAAGAGATGCAGATGCAAATGCAGAAGAGATTCAGTCTCTACACGGCAAGAGCCCGCAACCAAATAACACACAAATAACAAGGAACATAAACATTAAAGTGACAAACAATGCTTTGGGTTCTGGTACACGATGGTTCAGATATTACATTTTTTTGATTCGATCCCCAAACTCACAAGAAGGGCGACACTGATGGTGTCATCATTTTCTAACAGGCACAGGCGGCCGAGAGAGATTTGCGCCAAGAGCAAATAAAAGATTCCTCAAATTCATTGGTGTACTACACTTGCTCTTAGCATGTAGATATACTTTCTTGTGTTAAGTATCAAATAAAAAATAAATCAGGTACAGGGTTTTACAACAATAACAATAAATTATCCGATTACACTTCTTTTCTAGAGTTTGAGATGAGTCAGGGGGATGATGAATGACAACAGTCAGCAGAGAGTGCTGGTCACAGTGCTGCTCATCCCCGAGAGTAAGAAGGGAGGAAGTACAGGGTGAAGACTTTTCTACAAGCTGAGTGTGGTAGAAAAGCTGAACACTTTAATGCCGAGTCCTGATCTGAGACGGAAAGCTGCAGTCTTTGTCATCTTCCTGCTGAAATTGTCGCCCCTCTGTAATCTGTCTCCAGTCTTAGGGAGGAGAGGGGAAAATCTCTTATCTCTTATGTCCACCTCCTTCATTTCCTTCACCCGCCCCCTCCGAATCCTTCCTGCAGCCACCCAACCTAGGATGTGGGTGACCGAGCAGACGCCCCCTCCGGAGCGGCGATGTGGAAGACGGAGCCGATACGCAGGAAGAAACGTCTGAGGACGGCCCGCAGTTCAGGGATCAGGTCAAACTGCATCATTTCACATAGCTGGGGATAATAGCAGGAAGCATGGGGCTTGAACTGGAAATAAAGAGAAGATTAAAAAATGTAAATTTGCAGCACGTTGAACCCCTGCTAACTATTTTACAAAAAAATGCAACCACCAAAAACAAGGGAAGTTGAGCTGGGATGTGTGCGCCCTGCTGGGACGACAGCGTTCACAGTAGTGAGTTCAAAGTTATGTGCTTTCTGCTAATAAAGGCAAATTCACTCAACAACACTTCCCCAAAACTCCCTGCAGTCCTTGCATGAATGGTGCAGACTGGTTTACTTAAACAATATTAAAATTTTTGAAGATGCAGTGGTTTGTGTGGCTGGCTGCACTGCGCCAATATTTCCTGCTGCTTCGAGCTACATGCTGGGGTCTTGTCCGACTGAAAACGGTGCCACTTTAGGGCCTAAAATGCACTGGAAAAAAAAACAAACTGAGTCATGGGCTGCCGTGACTCATCCATGAATCATGCACTCACACAGAGAGTGACACATACAGGTGTCAGCTCACTTGTGTGTTTATAATCACAAAATATGATATAAAAAGATATATAATTACCTCATACAGTTTAAATCCCATTAGTTTATCCATAGATCCCTGAGCCTCTCTTTAATTTCTGATCCTAGATCAGATTTAATCACAGCTGGGTATGTGTAGTTGAAAGTATACTGTGTGTGTCTTTATTTGAATGTGCGTGTGTGCATGTTCCTGCCTTGTCATCGGGCAGCCGTAGCGTCCTGGTGAGCAGCAGCATGAGCAGGCTGTTCCAAGCCTCTCTGTGGCTCTCTGAGGTCAGACTGATGAAGTAGGCCAGAGCTTCGCTACACACCCTGACAGAGACAACACAAGGCACATATTCTTTCCAAAATCATCATGACACATTTCAAACACTGAACAGATCCAGGGATTCTGTCTCTATCGCCACCGCTTCTGAAAAGCAGCTCAAGGCTACACGCCCTGAAATAAGGCACCGACACCTTAATGATTAACATCACACAAATGCATTCCTGATGTAATACATGAGTCAACCAGCGCAGCCGCTCAGCGACAAACACAACCCAGTGATTTGTGCCATGCTCTCACATGTCAATAAATTCTACTAAGTACACACAGTGTTCAGTTCATAAATCTATAATGAGGTATGAGCTGTGTGTCAAAACACAGCTAACAGGACAAGGAACAACACCAGAGCTGCACTTTCTGCAACTCACACAGATGCTGTTTATTTATCAAGGGTTTCATTTTTCACAAAGCAATAATATTTTGATGTAGTGGAGATGAGCAACAGTGACAACTCATCATACAATCAGCTGTGATTGTAATTACGCATTTTCTGTTGATCCAATCTGCATTCACACAGGTTAAAGTATGATATGTTATATTTTTGACTATTCTATATACAAAGCCCGATCCATCTTATACTTCTGTTGTCCAGAGACTTAATTATAGTGAGCATGGGCAATCTAATTTAATACAACTCACATTCACTGTGCTGCTGCCATTGTTCAGCTAGTGAACCAAATGTGTATGAATCTGTGCCGTTACTCTTGTTGGAGTAACGTTTGGTAGAAACAACAGCAACCAACTGGACATTTGGAGCTTTATGTAAAATTTGACTTATTCATTTGTAGCCAATTTGTGGTGGTCAGAGAAAAGTACTGGAAGATATCGTTGTTTTGGTATCTCGTCTTGGAAAAATAAGCCAATACAGTAAAATGTGAAATGGTCCTTTTGACAGAGACTTGATGCTGTAGGTTGTACTCACAGCAGCAGGCGTGTCTGGATGTCAGGCCACGAGTCCTTCAGCTGAGGGTCAGAGTACATCTTGAACAAGATCCTCAGGCTGCATGCGAGACTGCTGGTTTCCTGCTTCAACAAGTTGGGTTTGGATTTCCCTTTAAACCCTGATGGCAACGAGAAAGGTGATGATTGTTAAAAAAAACAAGAAACAAAGACAGTCACGTAACCTCACGCAGAAGAAGTGCACAATATAAAGACGTGATTATATGAAGTGATGTAACTTAAGAGCGGACTTTCACTTTCTATTTACCTGCCCTCCAGAGTGCCGTCCTCTGCTCGTTGTTGGAGTTGAAGTCCTTGGCGAAGGTGTGTGACTCCAGCAGACAGTCTAGCAGCTTGAAGAGGTGTGCAGAGGTCATGTGTCTGTACATACCCTGATCTGGAC